ATCATAACTTTTTCTTTGGAATTCACCTCTAAACCACTCGTATATATTCAAAAATGACTCAATAATATCAAACATTGCTAAAGGAATCAATTATATTTCACAAATTAAATTTTTAAAATTTCCTCCAAAAAGTCAAAAAAATTGACCCCGGACCCGTTTGGTCAAAATCCGAGGTTCGGATTAAAATTCTTTTACTCATTCACCCCCAAGCCCGAATATGTAATTAGTTTTGGAATCCGACCTCAAATCGAGGTCTAAATCTTCAAATTCTTGAAATTCTTAGTTTCTACTCTAATCCCTAATTCTACTATGAAAATTCCAGATTTTAGGTTGAGTTCTATTAGAATGAAGTAAAAGATCGAAGGAAACGAGTTAAGGAACACTTACCTATGATTTGGGGAAGAAAATATCTTTGAAAAATCGCCCTAGGCCTCCTACTCTTTGGAAAACGAGAAGAAAAATGGTTGGAGTCCGAATTAAATGAACTCACTGCCCAGCGACCTTCGCACCTGCGCATCCGCACGTGCGGATAGGATGTGCGCTTCTGCGGAAAAGGGCTGGGCCAACTGGGGCCGCACCTGCGGACAGAGTTCCGCTTCTGCGGTCCCGCTCCTTCGGAGAAAAGTCCGTATCTGCGAAAACATGAAGTTCAGGCCTGGGTCGCACCTGCGGGGCTATCGCTCGCACCTGCGAGCTCGCACTTGCGACTAAAAGGCTCGCAGGTGCGGGCACACCAGATTTGGTGTACCAGCAGCCTTGTTGAGGTTTGAACTCAACTCGCGTATCGCCTGAATGGCACCCGAGCCCTCGGGGTTCCAAGCCAAACATGCACGCAAGTCTAAAAATATCATATGGACTTACTCTTGCGATCAAATCGCTAAAATAACACCTAAAACTACGAATTTAGCACCAAATCAAATGAAATTCTCAAGAACACTTTAAAATTTCTATCTTCTCAACTGGACGTACGAATCACGTCAAATCAACTCCGTTTCTTACTAAATTTCACAGACAAGTCTTAAATATCATAATAAACCTGAACCGGGCTCTGAAATCAAAAATACGGACCCGATACTAACAATGCCAAATATCAATTAATTCTTAAAAACAAATAATTTTTAAACTTTTAATTTTCATCAAAAAATCATAACTCAAGTTAGGGACCTCCGAATTCGATTCCGGGCATATACCCATGTCCCATAATTCGATACGGACCTACCGGGACCGTCAAAGTACGGATCTGGACCCGTTTACCAAAAATATTGTCCGAAGTCAATTAAAATCAATATTTAAGGCAAAAATTCTTATTTTCATTAGTTTTCAACATAAAAGCTTTTTCGAAAATCTGTCCGAACTATGCACGTAAATCGAGAAGGGTAAAGTGAGATTTTTAAGGCTTAAGAGCACAAATTCTAGTTCTTAAATATAAGATGACCTTTTGGGTCATCACATCTCTTTGCCAACGACTTATGTATTAGTCACATTATATATAAAGCTCGCTAAGCTTCACTCCCCTCTTCCTTTCGCCTATTAGGTGAAAAATATAATTGGTTCAATGAAACGTTGTTTTTCTTGTAGTTAGCCCTTAATGCCTCGTGGAAAGTGCTCCAGTTCTGATATGGTAAAGTAAACCTCGCTTTTAGTGGTGGAGCCACATGCACCCGGGGGAGGGGAGGGGGAGGGCAGAGCCACATGCACCCAAAGAGTGACCAACACCTATTCGTCGGAAAATTATATTATTTAGATCGGTAATTTTTTTAAAAAATATATATATATATATATATATATACTATATAATGATACCTCTTGACTTCTTGGTGAGTTTGTTTCTTTATATTTTGACTCTCCTTAATAAAAATTTTGGCTCCGCCATTACTCGCTTCATTGTGAGGGACTTTTCTCTTTAATTTTTTCCGCTAATTTTTCTCCTATTTGATCCTTTTTCACGCAAGTTCGTTCTTACATATAAGAAACGGTCACAAGGGTGGTCAACTGACCACCCTTCGTCGAAAAATTGCATTGTGTATATAGGTAAAATATTATGTTTTAGAGGTATGTAACACATATTGAACACCCTTTGTCGGGATTTATTTTTTCACTTCTTTCAAATTTGAATACCCTTGAAAAAAATCCTAGCTTCGCCACTAATAAGAAACACATAATTAGCATATTTTATGGAGGAATTTTCGAAGTTAAAAATCAATGAGATTATAGTTTGCTTAATTACTATTTATAACTACTATTTAATTATTATTAGCTTGTATCACTTGTATTCGGATGTGCAACGAATACAACATGTGTCAAACCGTAGTGTATTTGTTCGTGCAACGAACACAACCAAGGCAAAATACAGAAATACAGAAAAATAGAATGATCTCATTGAGATTTGATGAATTCAAGACTTCCACCTACTAAGCGAATGTTCTAACCAACTGAGCTATAAGAGCTGTTATTTTTTTATTTCAGTTCAAATAATTGATCTCTTGTTTCAGTACTACATGTGAATTTGTATAAAATTCAAATGTAGCTATAAATGATAATTTTTTGAAAGTATAGCTACGAATAATAAATACATTGTATGTGTTTGCTATGTTACGTAAATCATCCTATATCAAAAGCGGTGTGAACTTCCGTAACCAGTGGCAGATCTAGAGTGTTGTTATTGGGTTTCAGGGAACCCAGTAACTTTTGCATATATATGCACTGTATTTCTATTAAGAAATCCTCTAAATATTTATAAATATATAATTGTGAACTCAATTATTATTGTATATTAATTTGAAATTACGGTAGAAATTCATAAATTTCAAATCCTAAATTCGCCTCCGCCGGCGACTCACACAAAAATTAATGCACAAACTCACTTAAAAACATGCACTTTTCATATTTATCAGATTGCCACATATTATATTTTTGAAGTATGTACAAAACTTTAAAAGTTGTGCGTATATGACCTTTAAAAGTTGAAAACAGCACCACGTCGAAACATTTCAAAAATTGAATCTGGGCCACGCATGCATAGACAGCCTGCATTAAATTCATTGATCAATCCTTTTTAATCTTTACTACTAAAGACTGACATGAAGTTTGAAAAATAAAACTCTGAACTTTCTAGTCTCAGTCCTTCTCATTTGGCCAATCAAAAGCTTCCCTCTTCAGTAAATGCTGCCACCAACCTCACGAGAACTATGGTATCTTCTTCCTAATTAAACCGTTCATTAATTCACGTTCTATCCGTGAATATCTTTTAATTTTTATAGCTATTTTTGTGTAATTATATTATTTACTGACACTTAATCATTTATGTTACCCGAACTCTTTAAAAATAAAACCGTGTGTGTATTAGATCTTCTAAAAATAATGTATTTTGAAAAATTAGATGTGCTATAATATTTTAGAAGAGTTTGAGCGACATAGCTGGTTGCTAAGTTTGATCCATAGCCACGATTTGAAATTAATGACTAATTTTTTGGACTTAGATCCGGACCCAACTAATTATAGATAGTGGCTAAGTCATAAACTCAAAGAAAAAGAAGAGTAAGAATGAACACACTTGGAATTTGAATGAGATTGTTTTTTTCCCCCCTTAAGAACAAGACAATATAGGTAAATAAGGTACATACTATTAATTCATAAGTTCTAAAACAAAAAACATGGATGAGAATTGAGGATGTCATTAATATTCTCTTTCGTAGTTTTTTAGCTGACGCCACAAATATAGACAATACCTCGAGTTTATTGCTTCTTGTTTTCTTCTATTCCACCCACCACAAGATGCCATTAACTTCTTTGTGGTAGCTTAGCATCTTCTACATTTGTTTGATGCATAGTTCTATGGTACTGCAACTTAATTATTCCCAAAACTACAGTTCTAAAGAAAACAATTCTTTAGTCATTTTTTGGTATTTGATTATCAAGAAAACAATTCCAGCGAAAGTTATTTTCCTTCTAAATCACTTCATTTTTACATGTAAATGGTAATAAAACTACCTCGTATAGTGCTTGGTTAGTGTCAAATTTTGGTCACTTACAAATGTTAGAATATTTCCTGTCAATTTTACTTAAATACTGCACGTCTCCACCTCTAACGTAGATAGTTGGAGTCAACTTATATGTACCGTCATCAGTGATGTAAAAGATATCAATCACTTCGAATTTAAGCTAGAATTAAACACCTTTTCCCCAAAACAATCGCGTCGACAAATTTACAAAAATTATCATCTCAAATCGAGATCGCAATCCTCTTTGATTGATTTCATACTATTTATACTACATAATTTTTTTAGTAAGATATATATCACAAATTTTTTTTTTAAAATGTATTATCATCTAGCCCGTAGCCTGAAGACTGAAGACGGCATGTTCGAATCATGTATGCCTAATCAGTTGAGGTGTACTTTTTGCATATGCGTCAGGGATTGAAGTTTGTGGGTTCGAGATTCTAGTTCGTTTATATGTAGGTTCCAAATTAATAATTTATACATATTTAATGAACTTTTTAAGACAAATACATGGTTTAGACTAGAATTACTGGGTTCAGCTAAACCCGCAAATCCTATGCTAGCTCCGCCCCTGACTTTTTGTAATTTTATACAAACCTTACCCTTGGCTCACAATATAGCTTGGAGTCAACAACAACAACATACCCAGTATAATCCCACATAGTGAGGTCATGGGAGGTTAGTGTGTACGCAAATCTTACTCATACTTTGTGGAGATAGAGAAGTGATTTCCAATAGACCCTCGACAATATAGCTTGGAGTCATATATGATAAATATAAAATACTGGCAATGGATGCATGGCAACCCGGTGCACAAGGCACCCAAATTAAAGAAGTATGACGTAGATAGCTAACCTAATGCAAACATTAGTGGGTAGACACCGGAATGCAAACATTGGTTAATATGCAAAAAGGCACCAACACATGTTTGATATGAAACTAAAAATAAATTACTAATTCACAATCTTCAATTGAAGAAAAATGGTGCTAATATGTAAGTCGTACCAAAATGATCAACCAATATTCTTGGAATCATGATGTCACATAGAAGTACTACATTGTATACGCCATTGAAACTTCAAAATTGAGTTTTAAAACTAGCAACAACAATATTCCAAAAGCAGAAACGTATTATTGCACTGCTGAACTTAATTAACCACCCTATACATATTAGTCATTAGTTTCTAACTACTACAATTAATTAATACTAATATCTATATTAAGCACATGAAATACCAATAGAAGCCGCCGTAAATCGTTCAGAACCCGTTCTTCTAACCAACGACTTAATTTCTGGCGAAAGATTATCATATTCAGGACCTTCGGGAATCGTCGTAAGTGCACCAGATTTATCATAAACAACGTAAAATCCATCTCCAATTGACTGTTTATGTCCCGAAAAAAGCGGACTATTGTTCTGCTTTTGTCTGAACAAGGATTTCAGAAGTTTTTGGAAAGATCTAGAGATTTTTGAACTCTTTTTGGAAATGGATTGAGTTTGTTGTTGTTGTTGTTGCGAGTTAGAAGATGGAATAAGAATATGACGATCGGGTAAATGAGGCATAGAGAGACTTCTAGAAGCTATGGCTGAATCGAGTTGGCGTTCGAATGATTTTAATTCGAATGAGTCGTAGAGTGAACTTCCACAATCCCATATGTGAGTTTTGTTTGATGCTGCCATTTTTTGGGGTGAGTTTTTTTCTGGAGTTTTTGCCATTAGTTGGAGTTATTATTATGGAGAGAATAGAGGAAAGATTTTGAGATTTATATATATGGGAAATTGTGTTGAGGGACTTAGGAGGAAATTTCGGTTTTTATGTTGTGGCGAGTAAGATTTTAACGTGTTGGCTTTGACTAAAACGAGTATGGGGTGGGGTGACTTGGGTTGGTTTT